CAATCAATGTTGGTTTAAGAAATTCCGAAGCCAACAATCTTAGTATAAACAAATTACATGAATGGTTGAAAATCCTAGGTTTTTGGTTAACAATGTTAATTTAGTGGTCTTTTAGAATAAGCAAAATTTATTGGTTTTGGACCAATTTTTCAAATAAACATTAGAGAGCTGGCGATTGTATAAATTAACATTTGTTTCCATAAGGAAGTGTTTATTAAATTGGATTTTATATCATACTTCTTTTAAAAATCTTTCTCATGAAATTTCTACATATGGTGGAAAATTGATTTGACATTTGTAATATACCAAAATTTACATTTACTGTCCACTATATTTTAATTGATAAGAAACAAATTTACATAGTTTTTTTGTAAATGGAATAAATTTAAAAAGTTAAACCTGTTTTTAAAACAAATTTTGGGTTTAACTTTTTTAAAGCTGCTGTGAAAACCCAACAACGGATAAAATTACAAAGGGTTTAAAAAAATTTCATTGAATTATGGGGAAAAGTCAATTTAAAAAAAGGTAATATGGATTACCAATGAAATTTTGTTAAATATTTGTGCATTTTTTAACGAACCCAAAAAAAATTTTTATGAAAATGAGTATGTATTTGTTCACACCTCCTGAAATATTTGAAAAATGATTGATTTCAACCCCCATACCCTTTTTTTATCTATTTAAAAATTGTTCCATAGTTGGCTTGTTAAGTTAAATTAGTTTTTGAGTGGTTCAAAACCACAAATAGACATTGACCAAAACCACAGTTATTTTTTCAGTTTGCATTACTTTAAAAATTTTTAAATTTTTTTAAAACACATAACACTTTAAAAATTATCATCAACCTTGAAATTAATGTTTCAATATGACCCCTTTTCACTGGCTATAAGAATTTTAAAACACAAATGGGCCTTGCCGAGGAGAGGAAGGGGGAGGAAGGAGAAGAGAGAAGAACAGAAAGGAAATATGTTTTAATTCTTTAAATTTAAACAAAAACTTTTGGTTTTTAAAAAAATCTAATTTCATAATAATGGAATTTTGGTGTAATTTTTAGTGAGAATAATTTAACTTTCATTCCCAAAAAATGTCAATTTGGTTTTGTTTAAAAATTTTGAAAATTTAAAACTGTATGTGATTTTAAAATATTTTTTTACCTATTTATTTGAATCATTAAATAAAACTTTTTAAAAAGATGAAAAATAGATTTTTTTTCTAAAAAAATTTTTATGCCTTTTTCCTTTGAATATGCTGTGCTACCCAAGAAACGATTTGGTTCCTCATTAAATATTTCCTATAGACACGTCATTATTCATTTTTACAATTTGTTGTTTTTTGTTCATAACTGTTTGGGAAATAATTTGGGTTTTCAAAAATCTTACTGATAATTTGTCTTACTTTCCTTGATGTTTCTTTAATTTTAGTCTGATAGGATTTCAGTACTAAAACGATGATAGTTGTTCTAACTGGTGTTAAGTGTGGTTTGTTGAAAACTACAACTTCTTTGATTTATACTTGAAAATTTAACATGGAATGGTTCTTGTGACTTAAAAACCTACTTTAAGGTTTTTCCCCTTGGGGAACTTCCTGTTTTAAAAAAGCAAGATGTTCCTATTTTAAACATTTAAAATAGTTTACACAAATTTGTTGGAAAAAACATAAATTATTCTGAAGATATAAACCTTTCAGAGAAAATTTGAGCATAAAGTATTAACAATAATTCCAATATTATTTAGTTTGGCAACTTGGGTTCTGAAAACAAATTTTAAATTAAATTTTTTACCCCAAAAAACTTTTCTAGGATAATATGTTTACACCCCTCAACCACAAAGGCAATTCCATTATTGAACAGTAAATGTTCTTCTCGGTGATAATTGGGAATTGGTGATGTAAATTTTTGATTAAAATACCTTGGGAACTCTTCCAAAAATATAACCGATTTATGCAAAGGTTAAAAAACCTTTGATGTTTCCCAACAACGAAGAGAAAAAGGGAAAAATATATTTTTAAACTATACTTTAAAAAAAGGATCACGGTATATGCTGCAGGTTTTGTATATTGGTTGAAAAGGTTTAAGGAAAAGGTTGACAAATATTTTTTTAAATAATTAAAAGTAGAAATAGTTTCAAACAACAAATGTTGGTTGGAAGTTACAAAAAATACGAATTAAGGAATTAATTTCAACAACTTTTAAGTTTCTATAAACATCGTGAATTAGCATCGATATCTGTTTGCAAGAATGGCCAACAAATCTCATGATCATTTCATTTATATTCCTCATTTTATAAATGAAAAGTGTAAAATATACAAACTATATAAGAAACAGCCTTTAAAGCATCTTGACACTAACTGGCGTATATTGTCATGTACACACATGTATGTGACACATACACACCACTGCCACCCTTCTCAACCTAAAATGTATTCCGTCTATAAAAATATTCCACAGACACACATGCTTTTACATCCTGCTTCCACGGAAGACTATGTAGCACTTCTGAACAGAAAACAGAAATAATAAATAAAGGTAAACCAAAATGGTTTGGAATATTGAACATAACTAATGCTACCTTACCGTTACTCAGCAATTGTTTTCACCTCTGAAATATGGCAGAAAGTAGGTCGATAAGCTTGTGACCTCCTGCTGACCCAATCTATCATGTCAAAAAGTGATCAGAAATACAACATATTGCAGTCCTGGATGTATTTCAACCTACAACAAAATGAAAATAATTGCTGCTGAAAAAAAAATGTATAATTCTGCATTGTGTGATTAGGAAGCTAACCCATATATTAATGTTACAACTGCTTCTGATATGTCCCATATTCTTACCTGTTTTTACTTTTTTGAAATATTATGTATGTAAGCAGAACAATTCAGTTGCCTTAAATATCACTGCTAATGAAAAACTGTCTTGCACAGGAAACTTGAATGCAGAAGGTAGAGATGTGAGCACCAAATGAAATAATGAAGAAACCATAATAATTGACATTAGATTATTTGAGAACAATTATTGGAAAGAATGCATTCGAAAAAACACCGATACAAAATATTTTGTTATTTTTCGATGAAAATTTTTGTCAACCAACATTGTCTTCAGTTATTATTTTACAAAACGGCACACTAGTCATATAAATGCATTTACTGAGATAAGTAAAAAAAATGTTTTTTTAAAATTTAATCGTGATAGTTATAACTAAGCTTATACGATCATGATTTTTGAGTGATCTACAAATTAATTATCATAACAAAAAAATTCCAGATGAAATTTATTGATCACTTTGGGCTTTTGCAATGGCAGTTTGTAATACACTGGGTCAAGAAAGCTGATACTGGATTGAACTATAATAGTATATTACTAGTGCCATGGGAATTAAAGTACAATAGCATAAAGAAGTCACATGCATATTCATTCATCTCCTGAATGTATCTTCAACTATGAATGGGATAGAGAAGTATCATATAAGAAGTTTTATTCTTAGCTTGTACATATGACATGTTGTTAAAATGATGATTTAGCAGAATGTAAATTTTAACTAAAAATAAATCTGAATTGACAGTCACGTTTCTAGTCTTTTACATGTCTGAAAGCACATATCTATATGGGAAAAATAGATACTGTGTATGAACAAAAATAAAAGGCATGGCATACCATATACAGTAGAAGATATTTATGAAGTTACTTAATTTCTTCAAATTTATTGGACTTGTGTGCCATTTTTGCCCAGGCATCATTTATAAATGATGACATTGTTGCATATCTGTTTGTTTTGTAGTACAACTTTGAACAACAGATGCATTCCCCCTTACATCATAGTGCATGACAAAACCAGTTGAAACAGGATTACCATACTTGCTTGAATGTATCTAAAATTGTTAAAGTTATTGAATCTGCAGTTGAGCATTTTTTTGAGAATTTATACAATAACCTTCAATGGAATTTTGATGGATGAGGCATGAAATAGTGTGAATAAATGCCATTTAAAGGTATGTGTAATGAAATTCTCCAAAATTATACCAACAGCTGTAAAAAGTGACTAGAAGTATGTGACTTGTACTATAAAATTTTGCTGACATCCAATTACATTGTAGGACAGAATATGACAAACCATAACTCTTTAAGTATAAATCCTTTCTTAGATAAAAGTTTGCATCAACCATCAATTGTCCTTTACTTGGACATGATTCATTATTAATGACAACCAAACCAGAAGCATGAATCCAGGCTAATACCATAGATCAAACAAGTAGATGTCTGCTTTTTTTCTGAAGATACTGGTAGCAGAGACCAACAGAATTATATATTTCATACTGAAGTTTTCACACTCCGATCATTTCTTTTGGCTGCTTGCTAGTAATTAATAAATTTATTTTGACTGACCTTGGTATGTGGATCATGGTAAGTTAAATCCCCTAACTCACCTTTGTAGCATTAATCCTTGTCAGAACAGAACACTTAAGTATATATCTATTAAAGACCCTTCGTTTAAATAATTGTTGACGTGTGGAAAAGTATCATTTCTCCAAGGCAAGAACAATGCCTGGAAACCCTCATATGTGGACTATATGGACTCTGAACACATATATATTTTTGACATCTGTTTCTCAGTACTGAACATTCCTTTTTGTCCCAGTGATCATATCTTCAAATGAACTCACAGTGAAGTTGCTGTCACCGCATTCTTTGAGAGGCTGGATCCGACTGTAAACAAAAAATGTGCAATGGAACTCAAGATTTTACTTCCAGTTCATCACAAAGACATTTTTTCTCACTGCACTGTTGCCAAAACACACTCTGACAACCACACAATAAGCTAATATTCTAAAGAATAACATAAATGCTTAAATCTCATGTATGACCACAACAAGGAGGCAGGAAAAAATGTTTTAAAAATAAACTGGAACTACATTCTTGGGTATTAAACTAATAACTGATTTGATTCCTGTCAGACTAAACCATTTATGGCCAATTTTAGTCAAACTTTTTTTGTTTGCATGCCACTGTTCTGGTGACCTAGTTGTTAGAGCATCTGCCTCGAATGCAAGAAGTCGCTGGTTTGAACCCCAGCCCAGTCAATCCAAAGACTTAAAAATTGATAATAGCAGCTGCCTCGCTAGGCATTCAATATCAAGAATTAAGTGTTAGGACTGGTTGTCCTGGTATCAGGATAATGTGACTAGGTGGAACATAATGCTACATGTCTATGACATGATGCCCCAGTGATAGACATCACTATAAACTGTCACACTGCAGACATCTTAGTAATATGACTGAAATTTTTTTAAATCTACTGTATTTTATGTTATTGTTTGTACAAAAAAATTAATTACAATGTAAGAAAATTTATATGTAAATAATTATCATTTGGTGGTACTGATCATATACAAAAAATAAAGTGATCATACAAAAACAAGTTCTATGGTATATACGCTACTCGACAACCTAATGGTACAAACGTATAAGAGAAACATATTTTCTGTCTCATTCTGCTCTCAATTAAAGAATCTGGTTACAATTAATCAAAAGTACCATTGTTATGTGTGAGAGAGAGGATTATGTCTCGGTGTGCAAGCTCACACCTCGTCTGCATTTAGAACATATGTAGTTTTTATGGCATATAATATAAGCAAAATGATAAGATTGTTTGAACATATATAAGTTTTGGGTATTATTTATTGCTAAATTGTATGCGTCATGATGACCCCCACATTGTCAAGAAATTAAGTGAAAGTTGTATTTTTACCGCAACAAAAATCTCATCAAATTGCAATAAGAACTTGAAATCAATGGTTCATTTAATGCACATGAGTGCGCACATGCACCAGAGAGATCAATCAAAAAAATTTCAGTGTAAAAAAATTTATTTATTTAGTATAGTTGTGATTTGTAGCTTTTGCAAAGAGATGAAAAGACTATTTTCAGCTACCTGATGAGTGGGATAATCCTTATGTATTACAATCCTACTATATTCCATTAGGAATAAACATCCCTAAATCATTTTGTTGGTGACAGGCTTGTGGGTCTTCATTCAGGCTGGACCAGTTATTGATTGGTTGCCAGGCACCAGACACCAGTTACTGGATTATGAGTACTAATTGCCTGTTATTGGAGCCCCTTCAATACTGGGATAGGGACTAGTTTGAGAAATCGCCCCCACTACTTCCTGTCTTTCAAGGTTACTGTTGAATGCTGCTTGGGAATTGGGGTACACACATCAATACTGGGAAGAGAATCAGTTCCCCCAACTCCAATGGGAGGTGGGATGTGTGGTAGTGATTGGCAGTTTTGCATGGTGTTATGGTCAACTAGTAGAGAGGTCAACTTTACAGTTTGTGGACCAACATCTTCCTCTTACAATGTAGGGTTAAAAAACAAAGGAGGGAAGTAAGCAGACCTCCATACCTCAAACATCGCAAGAGGTTGCAGACTTGTTCTCATCCTCTTGTCAAGTCTGCCACTGGGAACATTTCCTTTGATTTAGGATGTGTTGTTGGTTAATGTCCTCATTTCTCCAAAGTCTCCACCACAATAGGGACAGTGTGCCACATAACCCCGCCTCCTAGAAAGAAAGCAGGTTTAAGATGCCCATCCTCATAGACTCAAATGAGTTCAATGCACAGTCCAGCTGATATGGCACATTTTGCCATGTGGTTCCATGACTAATCCCAACATTTAGCCAAAGCCATAGATGAGGAAGAGATCAGGTTATTTGGTAAAATTGTCAACAAAGTTTACAGTATTTTGGCACAATGATCTGTCTTGGTCATTAGTAATCACAGCTTCCCATGCCAACCTCTTTTTATCAACCTCTTTCAGCATAATGGAGGAATACCTATTGCTAACTGCTCTTTGTTAGAAGTAGTTGCCAAAACATCTAGGCACACATTATCCTTGTCCATGGCTTTATCAGCTGTTCACATTGACAGTGGTCTGAAGTGCCCACTGTTCCTGATCACTGCCATCTCACCTGGGTGGGTTTGAGTCTCAGGTGCTCCATTTTTGAGAACACACCATACAAAACAATTTACATGGTGCTGATACAGATAGCTTATGGTGACAAAGAAATTCTTGCACATTTATATGCAAGTTTAATTGCTAACTGACCATTAACCCTTTCTGGAGCAAGATATCATTAGCAATTTCAAGAAGTTGGACCTACTGAGTATTGTACTATGATGAAAAATATACAAAATTCTGTTTAAATTTAAACATCAATATGCAAATAGTAATTTTTTTTTAAAAAAAATATGATCGGTGAAAACTATTTTCTAATTCATTTGTTTTAAATGGAGACTTTAATGGTTATATATACATATTTCTTATAAAATCAGTTTGACATCATAAATGAGCTTGTAATGGTGAACATTGCTGCATATAATATATACCACTTCATTAAACTTTATTCAGAAATAATTGGGCAAATAGATTCAGGAAAATATATACATGTATAATGAAAACAAAGTTTAAATATTATGTGATGGGAGATTTAGCCTGAATATTTAATAACATAGGTCAGACAAATACAACAATCTCTGTTGTGAAATTCAAAACAATTCAAGGTCAATGTTGTTTCTGACATACAGTAATTTTATATAGTAGTCACTATTATTGAAGCAAATACTATTTAACCAATGTATATAATTATTACCAGTAGGTAGATAAATAATACAAATCATAAATAAGAAGTCCTAATAATGAATTTTTGTAACAAAGAAAGTGAGTAGTTACATTAAGAACTAGTTATTGTTAATTTCATATAACATCCATATATTAAATGTGATAATATCTAAAAACTATGTAGTGTTTTATGTTATTTTTTGTGCATGCCTAAAAACTGTACTTTGGATGACACATCATGCCACAGTTCTCATTAGCATATTTATATTAATGCACATGTAAACATTTTGCATGTGAACTATAATACAGCACAAGTAAGAATATTCTTTCTTATTTTAAATGTGTGAGAAAAGAATCTGATAAAAATTGGACCTAGACAAGGAAATCCCAGTCATTGGGTTACATTATATGTATCACCACTAGGACAAGTCTCATGGAGAGACAAATAATGTAACCCCTTGATTGTGATATCCTTGTCTCGGTCCAAACCCCAACATAGATTCAATTTATCCCACCCAGTCACATTATCCTAACATCAGGCAAACCAGTCCTAACACTGTTAAAGGTATCTTAAAAATCCAAAACAGAAGCACACTGTATTTTTCTGCATAGTGCCACCTATAAAAATTACCTTATAAAAATTACCCTAGGTTACCATAATTTTAAAGTTCTTTGATTTTGGTCAGATGTGAGTTAGTTGGGAAGTACACCATTTTAACATGGATATAGTCCATGTTTTGAAATCTATATTTTCAAATCAGTATCACTGGACAGTGTACCAGTTTGCTGTCTGAAAATCAATCAAAAAATTCTCTGCCTTTTCTATTAAGTTGAGAAAGAAGTCTTGGATATAATTTATTGCCAAGTGTCCATTAATGTTAGGTAATATGTAATAGACAAATTACATGATTGCCATATTTTTCAAAAACCAAGAGAGATTGAATCTGGTAGCATATAACAAGTAAACAAAGAGCAAACCTCTTGTAGTAACATTACACTCAAGCCCTCAGTTTTTAAAGACAGAATGATTACAAATTCCATTATTAAAAAATTAAAAGAAAATGTGTTCTTCCCTTATCTGGAAATCTACTGAAGTTAAATAATGATGCATTGAAATATGCAGCAGATGATAAAACTTTCTAATGAAAACAAATGTAGAAACTAAAATTACACCACCACCCCAGAAAAATACAAAAACTTGAGAATATTTTTAAAATACTAAAGAAACCAAAAATTCCATTTATAGTACATCATCGACCAATACAAAAGGAACATCTATTCATTTAAAATTGGAAGAAAGTGAGAATTATGATGATGTAAAATGCTGTATTGATATGACTAGTAGCCAGAGGATAGAATGGGATGCAAGTCTGTTGTTTTTTTAATACTACAAAAATGCATCTGTTCATATTGGGTTAATCTTAGTTTTCCATTGTTACTGTTTTGGGGAAAGGGAAAAATTTTAAGCCTCACTGTTTAAATAAAGATTAGTGTATTAGTTTATATACTGCAAAACATTCCCAGTTGTGATTATCAAGGATATAAAATAAGTTCTAATCTGATTGTTGCCAAGGGGTCACAAACAGTCAAGTTTTTGACATTTTGAATCAAAATTGAATTTCTTTAGCAACAGGGTTGCCATATTTGTTTGGGCCAGTCAGTTTCCAAGCAATAGATGTGATATAGTTCCCATGTTTGAAAAACTTGATAATTCTGTACTGCATGAATTTTCAATTGCACATTATACAAGAGTTCCTCACATTTTTTAAAATTTTTTTTTTGCTTTAGATGTTTTAAAACTACACAATGCAGACAACAGTTTTTACGGAAACATGGGTATCATAGTATCATAGAGACAGGTTCCTGTGTCAGAAAGGTTATGGTGGTAATCTGAGGTAATTTTGTCACTCAATATGATTTATTTCCTTCAGGTAAGCTTGCATTAGGCACCTGTGTTACTGAATAGACTATATAATTAGAGAAACCTGACATGGGCTTTACAAGCAATCAGTTTTCAGTGGTTTCCTATGCCACAACCTCAACAATGAAGTAAAAGGTGCAAAATGTTTAACTCTGGTTTGACCATGTCATGAGTACTACTTAACTGTGTGGAACCCACATAACAAAGATCTAATAAATATGATAGAGAATGTTCAGAGGAGAACTGCTAAATTAACCACAAATAAATATTGTGACACTAGTAGTATCTGTGTAATGTTGAACCCTCATCAGTGGGAACTGCATGAATCCAGGTGAACCAAAGCCAATGTTGTACAAGATTGCAAACAACCAGTGGACGTGGACATACCAGCTGACAAATACCTGACCCTGGCATATTGCCATACAAGGGAAAACCACAGGAAAAAGTTCAAATTAATTAAATCAGCATCAATAAATTGTTTGAAGTTGAGCTTCCATTTACAGTAGGGGATAAAATTATGATCATTAATTGCAGAAGC